ATAATACTGACATTTTATGAACAACGTCGAAAATATTACTGATCAACTGTCATGAAAAAAGTTGCAGCTAGTAAGTAAACAAACATGGTGGATAGTCGAAAGAATATGGCTCGTCGTTAAGGTTAGTGCGACCAGACGCTATGGGCGCTTCGATTTGAGCAGCAGCCATCGGTGAAAATTTTCACGACCTCGAGCAACTTGGAAACGATTCTCGCGACTACTTTGGCCACCGATATACATACACGTTATTTCAGCCAAGCAGCACTATCCGCAAGAATTACGATGCCTGTTAAATTACGAAAGACACGGGCAATAACATTCCTCGCCGATAATTACGGTTGCCATATTACGACTATTCGTTGTTACAAAAGATCTATTAGCCGCATCTGCATGAATCGCGTTCGCCGGACGCCTTCTTTTCCAACGAAACGTTTCTATTTTATTCCACAACGTTTCCTAGACGCACCTTGCGTTATCCTCTTAATTAATCTGACTCAAAGTCCGGCCATAGATGTAACGCCTTGCTCGTAAGAGCACGTAATACTGCGAAAATACACTATCATCGATCAGCAGACCGTATACACGGTGCCCGAGTAAATATACGTATAAACATTCCTGGATCCCGGTAATTCGAGCGATTCAATGCGTGCACCAGTGCCATTAACACGGCGCACGGCGCTAAAATACTTACGACGAGCCTCTTTAGGCCTTACGATTGTAACATTTATTTAATTAAATATATATGTATATATATAGTAATTTTGAATGTTTATTGTTATGTAGAAATCTTTTTATTTTCGATAGAGAAACAGGAAATCTTCCAAAATCTTTCTGACATTTATATAAAAACTAATCAAATTTTATGTGTGTAGATTATATATACATATATACGCGCCATTATATACAAGTGAATCTATCTTATCTGCTAGCATACAACTCGTGTTTTGTATTGTTCCGTTATTGCGTTATCTTTTTAGCTTTAGTTTTGATTCCAGTAATTATTATGAAGAATTTTTGCCGTGCAACAGGCAATTACATGGCCGTCTGTTACTCTAAATAAATAAGTAAACAAATATCAATGAAAATATCAATGAAATACGACTGATCGAATTGAGGCCAGAGATCTCATGAAAAAAATTGTACAAATGAAAGAAAATTGATTCTTGGGTCTAAAACGACTCATCGATGGCCGTGTCAGGCGTTGAAAATTGCTCGCGGATCATTATTTTCCTCTATAGGAAGACTTACGCTAACGAAATACAGCAATGACGGCATGTCTGCGTGCATTACCCGAACTGGAAGTCGCGAATCGACCGTAAGCGACATTTACATCATCGATACGTGGAAACTGCGCGAGAGATGCAGGCTAGAAAGAGAGAGCACGGTAGAAGTTGCGTGCAGCATCGAAAGACATTCGCAAGAGGTTAATGCGATGCGTGTTGCATCGAAAAATCGTTACATCAATAGTGTTAGTGGATATCATAGGTAAGGCATACCCATGAAGTATGTAATTGTGGAACGCCCACGCATTAGAACACGCGCTCGACCACCGCACTGATCAGAAACCTCGGTAAGGTTACGTTGGATATATGGTTTTCAACACAGGTTTTGATGGTCGACAAAAAATGTACCTTAATTCCTTTAACGCTAGAACTATAACTAGACTATAACTAAACCTGTGTCAAAGAGATCCAACTGATAGATATATATCATTAAAAATCCTGAAAAATCTACTATTGCAAAATACACTGCGGATATTTATGCGGAAATTCATATTTTGATGAGTATCATTTAAAAAAGAAGGAGAATTATTAGTAGAGAATTGTCGTAGCCACTAAGAATTACAACGAGTATTATATTTTCGATATTTTACGCATTTGTCCGTGTTCGTATTTTTGCACCATTAAATTTCTCATAAATGCATAATAGTCCACAGGTCAGTTCTAAATCTGAAAGATCGTAAAACTGCAGCAAATCGAAATTGCACATTTCGTCTATTATGATAGTTCTAGCGTTAATGAAGGGAACGTGTATGTATGCAAGCGAAAATTTACCTCCTCGAGGGATGTGATTGTCTGTCTGCATTGTGGCATCCGCGAGACGAAGGTGGATGTCGTAGGCGAATTGTAATCCTCCCTCGTCTCCTCGACGAACTCACTTACGGCGATTAGGCCCGGCATTTTTTCCCTCTTTCTACCTATATTGGCCGAAATTATGGGGAGCCCCCGAAATTTGTCACCGGTCTAGCACTGTTAGTGCCGTTACACACTCACTTCACTCGTCAACACCACTCACTTCACCGTTTCTCCGGTGCGCACCATAAATTCCGCGGGAGGGCTGTCACCTTCTGTCTCCTCCCAATGCCGTTTCCCGTGACGCACGGTAAACGTCGTCCC